CACTGGCCAGAACACCCTCTCGGAGAGTTGTCATACATAGCGACGAAATGAACCATTCGAGTCGGGCCGTGTGGAACCGGTCTCGGGAGGCGAGTTGTTTGAGGGAAAAAAAGTCTTGTCGACTGGAAGCTCTACGGCCTGTGCTCTGGTCTTCCCTTTTTTTTCGATATCTCTTTCTTAGGCTTCCCGTCATCGTACATCAGCCGCTTCCACGCTACATAAGTCCCTCATTCCGAATCAGCGCACCAACACGATTCGAAAATGCATATCGAGAACTCTTTCGGGTCATTGGTAATGCATTTGGATATCATATCAAGGTTGCGCCCCTTCCCCCCCATATCAACGCTCCATCGGGTCAGCAGATACGGTGGACCGGAGTGGTGACTCCAGCGAAACCGAGCTCCGGTACTTACACTCGGCAAAACTCGAGAGCTCTAGCGTCCATGCGTGCATTCGAATTTCGGATTCCCCTTCCACACAACGACCCAGCTATCGGCGAGGACTCGATTGAGCTCATCGGGCATGATGTGGCTTACGGCAAGGGAAGAATGCAACTCTTAGTGACTCATTGTTCCTGGACGGAGCGCGGGAAGATACGAGCGAAGTCGATTTCACTGGAGCAAACTACGACGACGAGGAAGGCTCAGGAAGTGACCCACGCTCGAGTTCATGAGCCTCCCTGGGAAACGAGCTCTGAATGATATTCCATATGAGATTCGGATCCATCGTTAATGAATCCGAAGCTCGCCCGACCCGATGCGGTGCACATTCAGGGATCAAGGGTCAGAAATTTCATCAGTGAGCCCGCATCGTCTTGATGTATCAATTCCGAAGTGTGCGGGAGACTTGAAGCGTCGGCTCATCTCAACTTGCCGGTGGGTTGTCAACCCGAATCGTGGATGGGCTGACAGATGCTCGTGGGACGGCTGGACTCACAGCGAAAAGCTCCGCGAGAAACAGGACTATGGCGCATCAAGGAAAATCCGAGCAGCGGTTTCCAATCACCTTGACGGAGCACTATGATCACTCAGGAGAGGAAATCCCCAATTTCGCTCTTCGGCTAACTTTGGATGGGCTGTCAGGCGTCCCGGCTCAGAAATGTCTCATCGGTTACGCGGTGGCAGCGGGGCGAAGTGCTGATTGGGAAGCGACCCAGACATCGAGGAGAGTTAGCGAGTAGGTAGCTCAGCCTGAGCACAAGAAACCTCAACCAAACTTATTTCTAGCGTTTCGTCCCTCGGGGTTGCTCCGGCACAAGGGGGAGAAAGAGGTTTTGATGCACGCTGAAACATCCGCTCCCCTCCCATTGTCAGTTATCTTGGACGCCCGGGCGAAGGAACTGCCTGTATGCCTTCTTCTCCCGTTGGACGAAACCGAATCCTCGCATATCTGCAACAACATGTGTAGAAGTCGACGATGGTGAATTTCCAATCACCGTTAGGCAACACCACTTGTCTACCGCACTTGATCAAGCTTGACGAAAGAATCGCTGGAGCAAAAGTAGATCCATCGCGACGCTCCATGGCGGTTCGCCGTTAGGCACTTCATTCCGCGGCGAAAGGTTGGGAAATTCTATTTGAACCAGTCACAGTGATCACCACTGCTGCCGTTGCCCCACATCTGACTTCGACGGAGGGCTTGCCAATGGGCTCCCGGTTGAAGTCGCGCATCACCAGAAATATGAAATATCCAACCGATTGTTCATTTGAAGGCTCGACAACATCGTTCCAGCGCGGATTCACGAGGGAAGAGACATTGAACGTGTACGATCGACACTCAAGTCCCGACGATGGCGATGCGATCCCATTTGATGGGAGGCGACTTCCCTCGAGCCTGATGATTACAAAACGCCGGACGCTTGAGAATTCGTCTGACATTGAGAATTCTCGCGGCGGAATGCCTTCATCCACGATCATTCGCGCACCGCCTTGTACATAAAATGAATTGTGACCTTTGCGATATGAATTCTCTCCATGGCGAGCGACATCGGGTGTCGCCAATGCGTTCTAGTTATCTTGCCATCGCGAACGATTTCGTCATAGAGCTCTATTATGAGACAGCTGAGAGTCGAACTTCGATCTATTCTCGAAGGTCCGCGGAGGTTAGAGAACTAATCGCAAGCATCATATCCTTCGACGCGTCCGAGTTCTCTCGCCGAGCGAATGAAGAGAACACGAACTAGAGGAGGCATTGCATCAGATAGCGGCACAACGCAAAGAGCAACACATGCATGCCCCTATAAGGAAAATTGTCATTCTGATATTCTTTCTCGTCCATTTTTCTGGCTGATCTGTTCCCAATAGCCCAGCGGGGGTAAGAGCGGGAAGGTGGATGGATGTAGGCCTGAGCCTCGGGCTGCGAAGACGTCTCAGCGTAAGTTACCGGAGATCAGAACGATGATAGGGTGTGCAGTCGAGTCCCTCGAGCTGTTTCCCCGCTAGGAACCGCGGCTCTAGGTCTCTGCTGCGGAGTCCAGAGCGGAATTCGATGAGGAAAAGAATCATTGCGAAGTTGACATGCGGGTCTGTGCGGTCACCCCAGATGGGGATAGAAACAAGGCTAGCATTCGAGACTTACAGCATGACTTCTGGAAGCTCAATCGAAGCTTACTCTGCGCCAATGATAATGGTACTAGGACCGACGTTTTCCGCTTAAGGAATCGCGCGGTGCACTCGCGATGCCCGCACAGGTTCCATAGATTCCATTTACGATCATGGGCTAGATCCTAGGACGCAGGTCCGGGGCTGGAATCCGGAGTCTGAACCGGGAGCTTCGAGCTCACTCCTCAAGATAGCGGGGAAAATTCAGAGGGCGTCGAAATTGAATCCGTACTAAGCATCGTCAAGCCTCGCTACACCACTGGTAAGCCCCGCTCATCGAAAACAGCTCGTCCGGCTGAATGACCCGGATCTGTAAACGCTATCAGGCTATGGACCGGTCGTGTTTAGCTAAAGTGAACCCCTCTGGGAATGGAGTGCTCCAACCCACAGAGTCTGCGTCAAACCTGTACCGGTGCTCCGGGAGGTTCATGGAGAGATGGAGGCCTCGCGCTATCGCATTCGAATCCATTGCTCTTAGTTGGGAGCTCCCAGTGAAGTCGCTACCGCTGAGCTCCACTTCCGATGATTCCAAGGCTCTATAACTCATTCGAGTTGATTCTCCATGTGACCGGCGACGACAAACGAAAGTGCAACACTGGGATTACCAAGTTCATTGAAAGCGAGACCCTCGAGTATTCGAGATCACTTCGACCAATCGATGGGCGTCACAATTTCCGATTACTCGCGGACGGAGGGAGTTTTCGAAGCTGTGAATCATTCACTCCATCTAAGATAATAATCCTCCATGATTCCAGAAAACAATTAGCGCCTGCATATGTGCCGAGCAACTAATGCCTGGGAGCGGAAATAATCGTATAGCTCAAAGACGGAAATATTCATGAAACATGAATTTTAGATTTCTACTGCCATTCGATATTCTCCTCGCCAGCTTATTTCCGACCGATATCCTCTCGGTCACCAACAGGGGGCTCCATTCGTCGAGATGCTCGCTGGCAGAGAACCATAATTATTGATCTGCTTTTGCCGCAGATCGTCTCCAGAGAGTTTATGTGAGTTTCCATTCCACGTGTGTTTACATAGGCATTCAGCGCAGAGACGTTGCGGCTGCATGCAAGCTTCCTCACTCCTCACCGACTCGTAGCCAAAAGAGTCATCGGAGCGGCTTCACCCATGCTCTAAATGTTCTGCTGATCGAGACCACGATATCGAACTGTCGTTTGGGATCCGTTTCCGCAACTCAATTGAAGAGGTCCATTGACCCGGAGTACAGTTCAACTTCATCGTCTGGATTGGATACACGTCTGAGTATCACGGAATCTTTTACGTGTGCGCCGAGCGGTCCGAGTTCCGGCACTCGCTTTGTTGACCATTTGCGCACGATAACTGATCTCTCGGAGCAACGGAGCGAATGCCCAGGGATACATGTAGTTCGGAGAACGGTCCACCGGTTGCGTAATTACAGCTGCGGTCGGCCGGTGTAGAGCGTCTGATAGTAGCGAGTTGCCGTTTTCATCGGGCTTGAAAGCATGGTCATGACTCATGACAGTCATCACAGAACAGGATGAACTCAGAAGAGATGGAAAATGTGAATAAGACACACCTTTTGAGCTCAGATTTATATTCTGGTCCGTCTCCGGCACCCAAGTACGTTTGATGCGTTCACAATGCGCGTTAAATGTGTCTGAGCCCCGCATGCCTGAATCTTCTTCACAGCCATCATGACGTTCTAGACAATTCATATTTGGTCGCAGATTCGAGGGACGAATCTGGCTCGAGGGCGCGAATATAACAAACATGGATCCGTTCCGGAAAAATGGCTGAGATCGAACAGAAAATTTCTCTGACACCGTCAGCGAGTGAGAGCATGGGACGCCCAAGAATGTGCTACAAAGGACGGTCTCTTGATGTGAAATCTGGAGCGACATAGGACCAGTCGTCGTTGCATCCGATCGCGTGAAATAATTCTCGAACTCTTTGAGGAGTTCTTTCGAAGTGATCGCTTTCGATTCATGTATTCGGCGAAGACCATCCGCTTCCCCGCGACACAACTCACAGCTCAAACTCACAATGATGGGGAATTAGGAAAAACGTTGCGGGGGATATGGATCAAGCTGCCATGAGATTTCCGGACAGCCTCAGTTCCTCGCAAAAGTTTCACTGCCTCGACTCTCTGCGTGTTCGTCGCGGAAGACCGCCGAAACTCGAGGATATTCCCTGTCTATTGGAAGAGCTCCGGGGAAATTCGACTACTGGTGAGCCGAATGTCCGATTGAGATCCAGAAACGGTAAATAGGTATCTGTCGACTTCGCGCTCTCGGGGGAGTTGGGGATGTGATAAGTGGGGACTCTCTGGAAGCCGAACTCGAATTCGCGGTTCAGATGACTTCCGGACCGGATCGATTGAACCTAATCGGCTGTATCTGTGATGTTCGAGCTCACCTTGATTTTCTTCGGAGCACTGGAATCCTTCCCGTTTTCCGAGGAGGGCTGTGGCGGCAAAGTTGGAGCTCCCGCGCACATTTTGACTGTCAATTCCAACGACAAGCCCAGCGTAGTAAATATCACAGCGAAGCCTGCAGAGGGCCACATGACTATACATGTGACGGAAGCCTCCCCCTCACTGAAGGCACTTCATGGGTTCAACATCGTCCAACCTCAAAAGTCACCGCAGAATCCTTTCCGCCAGACCGGGCGTGGACGTTCCAGTGAATGACGTCAGTGTAAACGACAAGCAAGAACCCCCCTTTGTCGTAACAATGCATAGAGAGAGGGCCAACCTGGGCGAAGGGTTTTGAGAGAGCGTGATTCTATCCCGTGTTGAGCCAGGAGTCACGAACCGTAGTTGCCGGACTTGTCGTGGTCACGTTACACGAATTCGAACAAAAATATTTGACTCAGCTCATACGCCGAGCCGTGTGGCGCCCCCAAGTGGTACCGCCGCGAACTAAAGGAGAAAGTTTTCTTTCGAAGTTGCTCATCTCGAAAAACCGACCCGTTCTTCTGCTCTTCTCAAAACGAATTCTGTGAGACAGATGGACTGGAGTTCTGCGAGAGCGCATTGAGCAGATGTCCAGTGGCGTAGCGAGCCGGAGTGCCGCTCGGGGCGGTGATTCGAAATTTCCCGTTTTTCACCGTGCTCGACGAAAATGCCGCCCCCCGCCAGATATTTTTCCTCGAAAACACTCCGTTTTTTGGATGCAAAACCCCGAAATGCCGCCCCTAAATGCTCCATAGGAAGTGCCGCCCGGGGCGGTCCGCCCCCCCCGCCC